TTATTTAATTTTATTTTAACTTTTTTTGCCAATGGTGCCAAGTAATGTGAATGCTAATATTGCTTAAGAAAATTAAGTTAATTTTGCAAAGCAGATAATCATAAGAAAAACCAGTATATAGCTTAACACCATCCACTCACTCCAATAAAGAACACTTAGAATGAACATACTGAAAAAAAAAAAAAAAGAAATAGTCTGAAAGTAGAAAAATATGTTTCACATTTTCATATCTCCTGCTGGAAGTCAGAAAATGTAATTAAAAAATTGCACAAAAAATTTAAAAACTAAAAATTAAAATGATGCAAACTGGTCTTGTAGGGGTGTCATGGTATATTACTATTTCCACATAATGAGGAGCCAAAGAAATCAGATACTTAAAAAAAAAATAGAAACTACTAATGTTAAATTAAGAGAGGGTAAGTTAGTATTTGCTGATACCAGTTTAAAATTTCCAAGCTAAGTCTGAAGATCAGTTGGTGTAAAGTTTATGACAATTAGTTTTGTTCTTGATTTTTGGCCATCAACTGTAAGTTAAAATGCAAGGCTTGTTGTGAAGCCTAAAAATATTCACAAATAAGAAGCTTTTAAACTGGTGTCCTTTGGAAGGAAGGTATATACAAAAGGATTGGGGTAAAAACTGGGGTCAGTGCTCTTGGTGCCTTTTCTATAATTGTACTTGTTTTTTAATTACTTCCTTTCACTGCCAACCTTGAATTACTGTACAGTATATGTCTTACTGCTCGTGATCAGCTTTGACAACAGTGACAGTCCCACAACGAACAGCCACCTGTACATTTGTAAACTGACCTAAGTCAATTTTTTTTTAAGTGTGTGGCTCACGCTGCAGCTGTTGCAGTCCCAAAATATCTATTATTTTACAAAATTGGGCCTGTAGGAGAACACTGAGTATTATACACTCATACACACATATACATAATTGCACACACAAATGGGAATAGAATGTGAAGGCCAGATCTTTCGAAATGTCCTGCATTAAAACTGAAAGAATTTAGACATGTTTATTCCATTTGTTATAATGAAAAGAATGGATCTTTTTAACAAGAGTAATGACCTCAGTGAATTTGTTTTAACCCTCACATTTCTACAAAAAAAAGTTTCACATAACATTTATTAGATGGGTAAGATAGAAGACTCAGTAAGATATAGAAATACTTAATGTTACTCTTCCAACTCAGAGGGTCTTCATGGAGGGAAGAGAAAGTAGGCTTAATGCGTACTGAATAACCCACCATAGACCACTGAGTTAGTTTAAAATGCACTTCCACTGAAAAAATGCATTTCTGATCGCCCTTTTCTTGGTTGTGGATCATAGTTTTGAGTATAAGATGATAGGTAAGCGCAGCTTTCTTGGATAATCTGAATTCCCAAGTGCCAGGAGTAGGATTTCATTATAAAAATTAATAGCTAATATTATTCTGTCTCCTGAAAATTTAATTGCTATTATTACACATTTGAAATCAGCTGTACTGTGTGAACGAAATAAAGACTATAACATGAACCCCCTCTATGGTTGCACGGTCGCTTATGGCAGTTCCACACAGTAGTTGGCGCCCAACGGGGGGTCCCCAAGACTTGCATGTAAAACTAGTCTAGATGTCTCCTTTTTGTAAGTTTTATTTTTGTAATTGTGCATGTAAAGCATCACTGAATCAATGGATCTGTTGAAGAACTCAGCTGCTGGAACCATGCAAAATGTTTTGAATTGCCCTTAAAATACGGAAAATGTTTTCTGAATGCTTTATATTCTTTCTGCTGTAAATTAAAAATGAAGAAAATTTCCCCATACTAAGTGTGGGTGTGTTTTGTTCTTAATTTAAATTTCTTGGCCATTTAAAACCAGGGTACATCTTGCTTAACTTCATGTCGTTTCAAGCATATCCATTTCAAAAGCCAAAGTCCAGGTCCAGAATCTGTCTTTAATGAAAATGATTCATACAGGTCCTCCAAAGTACATCTCAGGAAAGTTTTACTCAATTTGCAAATAATAAAGTTATTTAAATGGGTTAAATTAGAGAGAAATCATTTAAAATCTCTGTATTTAAAATACATTATGAATGAAAAACATGTAACTACGAAGCCTTCTGAGTCACTAGTGACAATCTTCCAAGGTGTTTAAAGTCCTACAGGGCTCCCCTCCATTCCCACTGCCAGCATCCTAGCCTAGGCCCTCTTCACCTTTCCCATGTGGATTACTGAAACAATATCCTAGCTGATCTCTCCTTCAAGAGCCTCTTCCCGCTTGAATCTGTTCTACTCCAACCTGGGATTTCATTAATATCATGCAGGGCCTTTCCACAGATGCAGAGCATAACTCTACTGCTTCCAAGAGTGGTTATGAACCAAAAAAAAAAAATTATTACCCTTCATAGGATCATAGATCTAATGTTGGAAGGAACCCTAGAGGTCATTTGGTCCAGCCCCATCATTTGACCCAGTTCCAGTGTATGCATACTAAATGTACAACTTTGTTGGTTTGGGATTTTTTTTCAGGGGGGAGGGGGGGACACACACTTTTAAGTTTAATCTGAATTACCAACATTTTCTGCATGACTTTCTTAAGTCCGGGTAATCAACAATCAAGTTGAGGTATAAAAGTTCACACTGACCTTTTAACAACAGGCTCCACAGCCAGGCTCCAACACACTTCTATCTTTGACCCACCTGGTAATAAGCCTCTCCAAACTTTGAAAGACTGGTACCCTGAGAACAGCCTGTCACAAGGACAGTATTCAGAGCCTTTCTGGTTTGAGAGGGCCTCTCAGAACCTAAGCTTCACTGACACAACCTTCAGGAGCCTACAGCTAAGACACAAGGACTTGGTGGAAGTCTTTCCTTAAAAAGTGCTATTTATCAAGTCACTCCCATGTTCACAAACCTATACGGGTTCCCTATTGCTAATTCAAATCCAAATTCTTCTGCTTAGCTTGAAGACCCTCCAAAACTTGTCCCTATCCAGTCTAATCAACTACTTCCCCTACCAGCATCCCCTGTTCCCGTCAAACATCCTCACTACGCTTTGCCCACTGTTCTTGCCTCTCTACCTTTGCTCTGCTTACCCAAATTCTACTCACCCTTCAAGTTCCACTACAGGTCCGGTCTTGCCAACACAGCCTTCTTTAACTACTCTTGCTCACACTAAGTCATCAAAGCTCACTCCCTTGTCTTAATTCCTATTGCTTGTAGGGTTAGTACTTTAACAGTTAAAATAAAGTAAACCGAGGTACAAATTTCTGGGCATGATCAATTCATTAGTAAAGTGTGACTCTACCAATAAAGAGCATCTCAGCTTCCTCAGCAAAGCTAAGACCCTCCCTCCCAAATGTGGGAGACAGTTCTCTTTTACAAGTTTTTGGATAGTACAGAACAAAGAACAGGAATTCATAGGTGGGGAACAAGTTATGATTGGTTACAAGAGGTCAGCATCACGAATGGCGAAATCAGCATGAACAGTTACAGAGCTGAGGTATGCGGGACAATGTGATTGGGTGAAAACTGCGAATGAGGGGCTTGCAAAAACCCCCTCTTTCCCCTCCTATGACTAAGGAATACTCATTGTTTGAGTCCACCTGCAAAATTAGAGAGGACCAGACTTCTTTGGATAGCAAACCAGACATCCCTGAAAGACAGGCTGGTGGTGTGAAGTTACTAGACCACACCCCTTGTGTCCACTTGCATCCGACAAAGAAAACAGATTTCCTTGGGGCAAGAATAGAACAGTGATTAGCAAGAGAACTGTAATTTTAAATTTAATTCACTGCAGACCAGCTGAATTTCTGAACTGAGTTCAAAGACAAGAACTATGATTTAGGCAGTTATAGGACAAAATCAATTAACCATAAATAGGATCAATTAAAAGATACAGAATCAATCTGATTATTTCAGTGCCCCAGCCTAGCACTGGTTTTCTTACTAAAGTTGCACAACTGTCAGTCAGGTCTCCAATTACTCTGTATTCCCTGAGCTCATCTCTTCTATCTCTATCCTTTCCTGCACAGGTTGGGCAAGATGCTTCAGGGATCATCAGCCCAGTATGCTCGTTCTGGCCATGGGCAAGATCAATGCTGAGTAAATACCTGTTAACTGAGCCATAAAACAGGTAGCACTCTGAGCTTTAAGGAATCATCTAGAGGAAGAAGGCAGCAAACTACGGCCAGAAGGCCAAATTCCACCTGCCAAGAGAGCCAAGAACGGTTTTTACATTTTTAAATACAGCAAAACTTTTATTTAAAAATGTATCAACTATTCTCGACTGAAGAGCCTTAGGAGAGCTTGCAGGTTCTAGACCCCTAGTCTAGACTCATTTTTATGAAAAAATTCATATTCAGATGGGAAATGTTGCTTGCCCAGTCACCAAAGGAGTAACTAAGAGGGCCAGAGTCCCATCTCAAATCTTCTAGCAGAAAACTCACGGGAAGGAGCATCATGTGTGAATTAAGTTTTGACTGATGAGGTGAACTCAGCTGCAACTTGTACTTTCTGTTTATGACCCAACCGAAAGGCATATGTTAAACGGGTAACCTCAGCTCTGACTTGTGCATTTAGGAATTACCGAAAGAAAAAAAAAAGCACGTATTAAGCACGTACTGTGCTTTAAAAGAGCAGCCTGTGCCTCCTCTCAGGGAGCTCACATTCTAATAAGGCAAACTATACTGAAGCGGGGATGCCAAACTCATTTTATCTGTCTGGTACCACCTGTAGTTTAAATACCTCCTATTCTTCGCCCAATTTTAATGTGGGTCTGTGCTGCCTGACTTCTTAAGCGCGGACCCCCACGTGTTGTTATACATGCATATATACATACATGGGGCAAAGGGGGCACCCTCTGGGGCAGCCTAAGCCCCACTACTGTACGAATGCGCACGCGCGACGCGGCTGCACCTGCTTCTCCTCCCCTCCCTCACCCCCCAACCTGGGGGCACAGCGGTCAGCGCAGAGGCCCGAGGGAGGTCGACTGGGGCACCGCCCCCACCCTCACTTACCCAGGCTCCTTCCTTCCCCCCCGCCAGGCCCAGCGCCGGGCACGGAGGCCTCCCATCCCCTCGGCTTCCTACAAGTGTCCAAAGAAACTCAACCAGAGGAGGGGGAAAAAAAGCCCAGAGACAGAGTTCTCCTCGGGATAGGACGCGGGGCAGACTGACGGAAGCGGGAGGGAGGGCACACACAGCGGTCGTCACCCCTCTCTCTCTCTCCCTCTCGGTCAGTCACAGCGCCTCGAGCGGCAGCAGCACCACTTGAGTCCGTTCGGTCCGTTAGTCTGGATGCGCGCGCGCCCCAGCCCCGCCCTTTCCGACTTCGCGCGCGCGCCCCAGCCCCGCCCTTTCCGACTTCGCGCACGCGCCCAAAGCCGCTTCCTCTCCCGTGCGGTGTAAGGACGGACGCGCGTGCGTACGTGCGTTCGTACGCCTCGCCTCCAGGCTCCGCCCCCTCCCCCTGTGCGTCACCAGCCGCGCCCCGCCTGCCTGTCCATCGGGTAAGCAGGCAGACGGAATCTGAGAGCCGGTGAGCCGCCCCAGCCTCGGCGCGCAGAGACCCCGCCGATCCCGCCGAAGCGAGTCCTGTCCCGACGCCGGGGCCAGCCGCCGAGATGTGAGTGACGCGTCGTGGGCCCGGATCGAGCGGAGGGTCTGGGTGGGCTGTGGCGGAGCTCCGCGTCGGCCGCCGGGCCCGCCCCCGCCCAGCGCTGGGGTGTGTCCCCTCTGTGCGGCGGGGGGCCCCGCGCCCCGGGGTGCGGGGGCGGCCTGGCTTAGGCCGCGGCCGATGAGCTTTTCTCCTTCCGCTGCTATGTGCGAGGCACCGTGCTAAGCGCCAGAGATAGAAATAGAGACAGGCCCTGCTCTCGAGGAGCTTCCAGTCTAATAGGGAAAAGGAGCAAATAACCACGTCCAGACCTGCTACAGACGGCATAGATGGGGGCCCTAGAGCTGGAAGGGTTGGGGAGGACTTCCTGGAAGAAGTGGGATTTTGGTTGGGACTAGAGGGGAGGTCATTCCGAGCACGGGGGAAAGAGCAGAGACCCAGACCCTGGGAGAGTCAGGGCTGATGGCTCCCACCCCACCCCCAAGCCTGCCAGGGAGGGGTGTATGTGGGGGGGGGTGAGGGGTGTGTGGGTGTCTGTCCTGCCAGAGGCGGGGAGGGGTGTATGTCTGTATGGGTGTATGGGTGTCTGTCCTGCCAGAGGTGGGTGTGGGTGGGTGTGTGAGACCCTGCTCCAGGCGGGGCTGGGGGCGCCTTACGAGGCAGCCTCAGACTCCCCTGACCCGAGTTAGGCCGGGAGAGGACTCTCCGGGCTCCCCCACTTCCCTCCCCTGTCCCTCCCCCTGCCCTTTCCATTTTGGAAGGATCGGGATTGATGCTGGGCTCTGTTGCGTGCAGGGCAGCAGTAATAATGATGACGATGATTTAAAAATAGCTGACGTTTTCCGTAGTGTCTTCAAAGCGCTTTATATGCATGATCTGCTTTGAGCCATAGAACAGGCCTGAGTGGGGTGGGAACTGGAGGTATTGTTATATATACCCATTTTACAAGAGGAGGAAACTGAGGCCCCAAGAGGTTAGGTGGTTTGTCAGGATGGAAGGCCTAAGAATTTGGCCGAGGTTTCCCTGATTCCAGGTTGGAGTACTACTATGTTAAGTGTCTAAAGAAATATGAACTAGGGGCCCGGCCTTCAATGGAGTCATGGTAGACAGCTTTCCGAGGAGTAAAATCATAAACGTTATTGTATAGTAGCCAAGCTTCCTAGGGAATTTTGAATTACTTTCCTGTTTATTGCTTGTGGAACATTCTCCCTCAGGTCAGATATTTGTCACCAGAGTGTATGGCTTTGGGAGTGTTCACCTTTTCTTCTTGAAGGAATTTGGCTTAGGATTTTAAAGTACCTTTTGTGATTGCACTTTAAAACGTGACCTTTTGGGGCAGCTAGGTGGCACAGTGGATAGAGCACCGGCCTTGGAGTCAGGAGGACGTGAGTTCAAATTCGGATTCAGACACATGATACTTACTAGCTGTGTGACCCTGGGCAAGTGACTTAACCCCGATTGCCTGGGGGGAAAAAAAGTGACCCTTTAAATTTGTATTTCCTGAGCTTACCCACGATTTTACCAAGAATCACATGTAGCATCCCATAGGGCTGAAGTTTGTAGAGTGAAAAGAGGCAGTTATCCCCAGGAAGATAGAATTAGAGTAGTCTGCTTGCTTCTCAGGAAAGAAAATGCAGTCCCCCAGAATAGAATAAGAGTAGCAGGTAGCATTTATACAGTATCTACTGTGTGCCAGGTACTTTACAAATATTATCTCATGTGCTTCTCACAACAACCCTGGGAAGTAAATGCTATTATTAGCCCCATTTTACAGTTGAGGAAACTGAGGCGAACAGGGTGAAATGACTTGCCCAGGGTCACACAGCTAGTAAGTATCTAGGCCACATTTGAGCTCAAGTTTTCCTGATTCCATGTATGACACTCTATCCATTGCACCGCTTAGCTGCACGTCAGTATGTTAAAGATAATGTTAAGCATTATGGGTGATACCAAGAATTACAAGTCTCTGCTTTCAAAGAATTTAAATTCCAAATGGGAAAGCAATGCAAAAATAACCTTACGTGTCATCATATGACTAAATATCAACTAACTAATAAAGAATATCTACTCTGGGTTGGAATGGTCAAGGAATACCATTTCCTTCAAAGCAGCGTTCTAGTGTCTCCTTTTAGCAGAAAACTTTCCTGGTTCTGTCCCTCCACATTACTGGCAGTCTCTTCCTTTTGCAGTTATTTTGTATTACTTTATGTATACTTGGTGTTGATTTCTGTGTGTGATGGCTCTCTCCCTCCAGTAGAACAAAAGCTTCTTGAGGGTAGGTGCTGTTAAATTTTTCTTGGCTTTGCAGCCCTAGAGAGGACCTTGGCTCAGGTGCTTTACACACACAAAGTTAAGGGCTTAATAACACTTAATTGAATTCATGAGAAAAATAAGATTTGAGCTTGGCCTTGAAGGATAGGTAAATTCAAAGCTAATGAGCACTGCCCCAGTTATTTCTTCATTTACCTACTATTTAGTGGTAGAGTGAGTTTAATAATCCTCATTCCTGAAAATTAGATTCAGAAGCAACAAGAAAGAATAATTATAGCAAATGAATTCAACTGTTTCCTTAATGGGGAATGAGGTGAAGGAGTAGTCCACAGCTCTTAGGCTTAACTATGAAAATACCCCAGACTGATAAGAATTAATTTTCTTGTTCCAAACAAAACTCATTATCTTTCCCTATGCCATGTTCTAGTGATTTAATCTTTACCATATCTCTCTGAATATGCCCCTTCTCTCCTGTGACTCTGCTACTGCTGTGGTGCAGGCCCTCATCACCTCACGCCTGCGCTATTGTAATAGCCTTTTGGTTGACTTCTCCCTTCCAGACTATCCTCCCCTCTGCTGTCAGTGATCTTCCTAAAGCACAAATCTGACTGTGTCACTTCTCTTCAATAAACTCCACTGGTTCCCCATTGCCTCTAGGATCAAATATGAAATCCCCTGTCTGTCTTTTAAATCTCTTCATAACCTAGATCCTTCTCACCTTTCCAGCCTTTGTATACCTTACTAATGTCCACACACTGTACATTCCAGTGACATTGGCTTCCTTATTCTTCCTTGAGTAAGACTCCATTACTCAAGTCCATGCCTCTTCACTGACCATTCCCCATGCCTGGGACTCTTCCTTCTTCATGTCTACCTGATGGCTTTTCTAGCTTACTTCAAGTCTCAGCTAAAAGCTTCCCTTCTGCAAGAATCCTTTACCAGTCTCTTTAATCTTAGTGCCTTCACTGTCAATATCTTATTTGGACATAATCGTTCACTTATTGTCTCCTCCCGTTAGATCAAGAGCTCCTTGAGGGCAGATGCTGCTTTTGCCTGTGCTTAGTAAGTGCTTATTGACTTGACTTCAGAGACTGAGTACCCTGCTTCTGACACTAGCTGACCACTGTTGAGTCACCTTGATTTCCTAAGCCCAGTTTCCTCATCTGCAAAAAAGGGGAGAATACCGTTAGTACCTACTTACTTGGGTTGTAGTAAGGAGCAGATAAAATAATGTATAGCAGAATCTTTGCAAACCTCGAAGTACCATGTTAAATGTCAGCTACTATTATATTTAAATGATATAAGCTTCTGAAAACAGAAAGTTAAAAGCAGTGTATCATGGTACAGAGTAGAATATGTTGAATCCAATCTATATTGGAGGATTTAATTTGGAAGTGTTGGCAAATTTCAGAAGGAAGTAAGAGATTTAGAAGAAACTCACTATATTACTATCAGAAAGATTATGTTTAAAAGAGAAAATTAAAGATGCTGTTGTTCCATTGGCGTTCCTCTTTGCTGTGTTCTACTAGGAGGTCAGAAGATCTTAACAATTCGGATTTTGCACTGTGTATGTCCATGGGCTGGAACCAATTACCATATTTTACTTAATTGTAACTTTGAATAGCAGGAATTCAACTCCGTGCAGCCACTTAAGGGGATTTGTTATTTGTACTAGTTGGGACCAAGCTATTTTGTTTAATATTTAAATATTAAATAAATAAATATATATATATATGTATATATATATTTCATATATATATATATGAAAATGTGTATATGTTTAAATTTGTATCTGAGAATATCTGATTGATGTCTAATCTTAGATATCAATCAGATAGATATTCTCAGATACAAATTTCTTTAGAAAATGAGTTATACTTTTCTGACAGTTAACGTTTTGTATGTTACAGGTCGACAAGTGGTCCTTCTGTTTCCGGTGCTGCCTCTGGCAGTAATCGCCGTCTTCAGCAAGCACAGAATCAAGTAGATGAGGTATGACTTTGGGACCTTGTAAACCTATAACTTCCAACTACAGAGATGGGAAAGGTTAGTCATTAACTAATAAACTGTGAGCACTCTGGACTTCAATTGAAAAGCATAATGCAAAAAGATCATAGATACCCGCTTCCTTGGGCCCTAACAGCTCCGATCTGGGTAGGAGTTAGATGCTCTCTAATTAGAATGAATGCGTGTATGGCCCTAAATTAGACACTGTAAAAAAATTCCCTGAGAGCTGTCTGCCAATTGTGCCGTACCCACTAGAGGACTGTGAAGATTAGGTCTATAGATATCATAGACACTTTCAGCCTTCTGCCATTTCCATGGACACACAAGTTGCTTCTCAAGTGCACACCGTCAGTCAATCAGTAAACATCTATTAAGTGCCTACTGTGTGC